GGTAATTTGTGTGGTACCCAATTTTGCGCTCTAGAAGAACCTGGTTCTTCTAGGTATACTAACTCTACTGTTTGCGGAATAATAAGTACATAAAATAAAGAACACAGAGATTTTTACGTGGAAAACACCTGGCTCAAAAGGTAAAAAAAACCACGACCTACTACTCAGTAGGATTTTCCCAAACTTCCACTAAAATCACTGAGCCAAAACAGCATTTACAAAACTCTTTGTAAACCTAAGGATTAACTCTAATCCGGTTGTAGCACACAGCCTCAACTGTTGCGACAACTTCAAGTTAGCATATAACTTGAACACTCTAAGTACCTAATACAATTGCTTCTATGAAACCTGAAAGGTACAAGTTTAAATCACCTACTACAATTGAACTAGAATAAAAGAAGGACACAATGGAATTAGTTCTTCTATCTTGTCCAAGTAGCTTCAGGAATGCACACTCAAATCTTCACATAAATTGCTTGCAAAATTGCCTCGCTCTTTTGCTCTCAATTTAGTGTTACTTCTGCGTTTGTGCAATTACCTGTAAAAGAGAATAATCACTGTTATTTAACGAGTTAGTAATTAGAGTTTGATTAAGACTCAATTGCTGATCTTCCATCGAGGTTGAGTCCTTAAACAACACAAACTCCAACACTATCTTTTATCCGAATTGTATTCTCTTCACATAAGGAGACTTTCTCCCCTTATCCAATATGCAACATTTTCGATCAGATTCAGGAGATATTGCTGCTTGATCAATGAGACTATCTCCTTCACGTGCATCTCACATGCGTAGATTAATCATCACTGTGCTTCACATGGTGGACCTAGTCCATGACTGAGTTCCTTTGTCATTCTTCAAAACTTCACCTGTTCTTGGGCCAACAATGTTGCTCTCCATGCTACTGAAGACGACGTGTTCTATGCAGTCATCTGTTATATTGCAGTGCATGCAAGAATTTATGCTGCACCAATGTATAACTAAGGAACCTTTGTAAAGAATACTATGTTGGGAGTTAAAATGTCTGGTATGCAGTGCTGCTCTTACTCCCCAGCATCTGGATACAGTGCTGGACAAAATCATTGAAGTTCGAGATTGGGTGCAGACATTGATTTAAAGTATTCAGATGCTAATGTTGATGACTATATGAGGTATGCTATTTACTAGATAACCATCTACGCATTCAATCCTGCCGCCATTAGGTTGCATATATTTGTAATCCCAAAATTTTCTAAATCATGTGGCAGGATCAACTAACTAATCATTTAAACTCCATATTTGAGTTCTTGAAGTTTCTTTTAGGCAATTCACTAGACTTGTTGTGAGGTAAAATATTTAGGTGGAGCCATGTTTCAAGTAGTTCAAAGTGTGTGGAATAGTAAGATGGATGAATAGAACTTGGACAACATTCAGAAATAATACATGGTAACAGAAACAACCTTGAGCAGTATAGATAAAAAAGTAACAAAAGTCTTTGCTTTTTTGAGGTTTAAAAAAATGTACTAAAGTTTGAAACTCCTCTACATGACATTTCTGCTACTTTAGTTCCCTCCAAGCATGTATGAGTTTTCTAACCTATATGGCTTAGAATCAATTTTTCATGAAAATGCTTTTGAAAATTTTGAAGAGTAGTCGAGTTGATTAATCTTGCCATGATCTTTAAGTTCCATGTTAATATAGAGTCCACTATATAGTCTTTAGGCTATGGCAAATTTTTGAGTTCATGTGCTTCAATTGGGCTTTGGATACATTCATCTTCCTTGAGTTTTGCATGTGGCATGTGAGGTGAGGGTTTGTTGAGTTCTTTTGTGTCAGTTATGGTCGAGAACCTGCTCCAAGTTGTGTTTCGAGGCGAAATCCTAGGTTGTGCTTGGTTTAGAAAATAATCTTTGGCTTTCTTTGGACCGCTTGTGCCTTAAATTGTCTATCCTTTGTGTGATTACTTTAGTCACCCCCCCCCCCCCCACCCCGGAGCCTTTAGCCTTTTTATTGACAACCATATTACAAGCCTTTTCCCTTTTGTGTTAACCTCTTTTGATGCCCCAACCTTTTTGAAACTACAATTTAGGCTTTTAGCCTAAGTTTTGGGGAGGAGATCTGAAAAATGTATTGTGGTAGTTGAATGAAGTTGATTTGAAGGTAAAAGTAAAAACAAAGTGTGAATAAGAGTTGAAAAATACAAAACACGAAAAAAGTAGCATTGAAAAAACAAAAAAATGGATATAAAACGGAGAGTTGTGAAATAAAAGGGTTGACATGGTGATAAAGTTGAAAAAGGAGCATAAAGAGTGGAATTTTGAAAAGAAAAGTGTTTTGAAAGGTTGAAATTGGAGTGCTTAGAAAGGTTGTAGTCACTCATTAGTCATTACCTATATTAATGTTCTACCTTTAACCAAAGCCTACATTATATTCCCACAAGTCCTAAATGATTTTGAACTAGGTGCACCTATATTAGTTGTGAAAAGTATCAAATAGTGTGTGCACTTCTCTTTGTTTTGTGGGGGCACATGAAAACTCTGGTGTGATTGATGTTTTTTTCCTCAATCAGAGACACATGAACAAAAGAAAGTGGCCTTGTGAATCAGAGGTAACTTTAGAAGCTTTAGTGTCATGACTTGACATCTTCTCGACTAGCTTGGTACTTGTGTGTTGGTTCTTGAGAAATATTGCTTGTAGTTTGATTTGCTTGAGGACAAGCAAAAGTTTAAGTTTAGTGGAGTTAATAGGTTCTCTTATGATTTGTAAAAGATTTATGCCTCAATTATGCAGTAGATGGTATTTATGTAATAAGGAGGAGGAGAGCAGCAGCCATTTGTTCGGCAAGTTTTTGATAAAGACATGAATGACATATTAGCACAATCAACAAGCTAAGGGAATATTTTCAATGATATCAACCATGCTCCAGCCCAGCGTACTTTAAGCATCAGCTGTTATTGTGATGTTATTCCCAGTAGGCGCAACATAAACAACATCAATGATAGTACTAGTATGTTACAGTGTACATTAGCTTGTAATAGGGTGCTCCCTATACACCACCACTCTGTACGACGTAAAGTAATATATATTTTATCTTTTGAATCAAAAAAAAAAGTTTTTTTAAATAAAATGCATGTCCAAACACAACTTCAATTTTCAAAATTTATTTTTCGACACAACTTCAAAAACTTTTGTTTTAAAGTTTTAATCAAATTTATATCCAAACGCTAGCTAAAAAGCAGGACTCAGGTCGAAAAGGTGTCACATCATCAAACTTAAAATACTAGGAGTACTTGTAATTTGTAAAGTATTAACTATTTCATATTTATAATAATGAGAAAGCATTAGCGAAAACCTATCCCTATCATATTTAGTAAATTGAACTCTAAGAGAGAATATTAAATAATTAAAGAAGTCTTTATTTGATGGGCAAATTCTTTTAATAACAAGATAGTTTTACGAGTTATAGTTTAACATTAAATTTGACATTCATTTTTATTTCCTTCTCATAAATCTTTGTTATGAAATCTTATGATTATTTAATAAAAAGCTTTGTGAAAAATAGTATGCAAAGTAAAATATTAAGGTGGAGGAAGAGAAAGTAGAATGCTACAGTGGGCTGAGTTGTCACAATCTAGCATTCTGGGCCTGAGTTGTGGATCCCCAAGTGGGCCTGCTAAAGCCCAGCCAGCCAGCCAGCCAGCCTAGATATCATTGATGTAGAAATGGCATGGGCTAGCCACTATTTAAGGTGGTATTTATTTTTTATCCAGCAATTCTAATGTTGAGCAGAAATAGCCACTGCCCTATTAAAATTAATGTGAAAAGATATTTTTACCCTTTCTTCCCTTACTTTTCTTCCCAAACCCTCGCTTCTCTCTCTGCGTGCCTTCTCCATAATCCAAAATGAATGTTTACGTTCTTATTTCACTTTTGTTGTAGCCACATAAGAAAGGAGACCAGAAAAAGTCTTTTCTTCATTGTTGTACTACTATTTCTGCAGCATGTCTGCAATTATTATTACTATTAGAATTATTAGTGTGAACAACAAATATTTTCAAGACTTGCGTCAGAATAATATCAAGACTCTATGACTTAGATCCATTATCTTTCCCATTTCACTTCTTGGGAATTGTTCTTATTATAGTACCAAGCCAACATAAACCTCAAAAAACAGTTTGCCAAAAAAAAAAAAAATTCACCTGCTTTTATTTCTGCTATTTTTGAGGTACTTCTCAATTCTTTGTTCTTTGCTTGTTCTTATTCATTTTCTATTTTTTCTAACTTAAATAGGTCCTTAACTTTGATTTTCAAGTTCAAAAGTTAAGGACAGACAGTCCTTAACTTACAGTTACACGTTCAAAAGTTAAGGACAATATGTCATTAACTTACAGTTACAAGTTCAAAACTTAAGGACAATAGGTCCTTAACTTTGATTTCCAAATTCAAAAGTTAAGGACAGACAATCCTTAACTTACAGTTACACATTCAAAAGTTAAGGACAAGCAGTCCTTAACTTACAGTTACAAGTTCAAAAGTTAAGGACAATAAGTCCTTAACTTTGACTTACAAATTCAAAAGTTAAGGACAGACAGTCCTTAACTTAGAGTTACGCGTTCAAAAGTTAAGGACAAGCAAGTTCAAAAGTTAAGGACAATAGGTCCTTAACTTTGACTTACAAGTTCAAAAGTTAAAGACGTTTGGTCTTGAAGTTTGAGTTCCAAGTTCAAAAGTTAAGGACATGTAGTCTTGAAGTCCTGAACTTAGAGTTTCAAGTTCAAAAGTTAAGGACATGTAGTCCTGAAGTTAAGGACATGAGCAGAAGGGTATTTTCGTCCGGGCAGTTAAAGTTTATTAAACCAGTGGCTAAAGACTAAAGACATTTAAAACACTGGCTTTAAAATAAAGACATGAGCTGTTAGTGGCTATTTGTGAACATCGTCCATCATTGATTGGGATAGAGATTTGATGTCCACGTCATTCCCACCAATCATTTCCCCCCTTTAATAAAAGAAAAAACAACAACAAATAATGCATCTTCCTTATTTAGTCCATTATTTCTATTTAAAGTCCCTCTATAAACAATCATAAACATTTCTGTTCTCTTGTTTTCAAGCATTAAAGGATGTTTGAATTATTTGTGCTAGGGTGTACTGGTGTTGTGATGTTCCTTCATGGAGCCAATTTCTTCTTCCATGGTCTCTCTCATCATATGGCCATTCGTTCTCTCAGGTACAACGTAACGCCTTCTTTTATCTCCATTCTGTTTTTTTTCCTGTTTTTGAGTTTTAATTAAGACCAGTTTACATTTGGATAGTGAAAATTCAAATAGCTGATCGGATCAGCCTGATCCCATTCAATTCCCAGCTATGGATTGAGGCAGAGTTACGTTGTTGATTTGTGTTCGAGTTTTGATTTTATCTAAGATAATCTATTCTTGTTTGCTATCCAAAAATATATATGCTTTTTTCCCTCCACTCGCACTTACAGCTGAAACAGTTGATAGTTTCCATATTCTTAAAGATTTTTATTTATAAAATTGGTGAGTTATCGTAGTTTCTTGTAAGTTTAGAAATGTATTTTTAAATTTTCTGGTTAAAGTTAAAGAAGCAGAAAATCAGATGTTCTTTTGGAGCAGCGATAGGAACGAATATATATTATGTATTTTGCGCGCCTTATCGTTCACTATTGTGCTCAATTTAGGGTAAATACACTTCTCTATAGACTACAAAGTGGGGAAATGAAGAGCAAAAATAAAAATAAGACTTCTCTAGAATTAAAAGTTTAGGTTTCAAAGGATTATATTTTTATATATTAATTAGCTGAATATTTCCTGTCCACTATTTAATTTTAATATATGGGTTTAAATTTTCTTGGTGCAGCTTCTTAGGATTTGTTGGTTGGTAAAGAAATGTCGAGAATGATAATGATGATCGATCAGCTAAAGGAAGCTTGCACGAACCGCCATGCTTTTTGTAAATTATATTGGTTTAACTAATTTTTATTCTTTTTCATTTGCATTTTAAGGTAGATATTATTATATTGTTGTGGTCCACAATAGAAAATGATCGAGAAAACCTACGATAAGAGAATATATCCTGTAAATTTTAATCATTGAAAGGCTTCGCCTTGCTTCAAGTGTACTCTGCTTATTAGATAAAATATTTGTCTTTTTAATATTTTGATGTTTATACTCTGAAAATACTCCGTAACTAAGAGGGTATTTGCCCAAACGGAAGTGATTCAAGTGATGAAATGCTTCTCTTGCGTCTTATTTTTGACTTGTGTATTTCTTTTTGTTGTTAGATCCAACTTTTCCAACAACTCTTTGTCTATTCGTATTTATGCTAAATTAGATATCCTAATTTAAAAATTACAAATTAAAGTAAGAATATGTAGATTATTTTACTGCGATTAAATTAAAAATATATTTTGTAATTTTCTATTTATGGTTCTTTATTATGCATGCTGTGGCATCCACGCCCGTTACCATGTTACATTGTTGCTAATATTTTTTGCTACTTGATTGCTTTTTCTTTATTGTTCCATGAGCCGAGAGTCTATCGGAAACAGTCTCTCTATCTCTATGAGGTAGGGTAAGGTCTTCATACACATTACCATCCCCAAACCCCATTTATAGGATCAAACTGAGTTTGTTGTTGTGGTTGTAAATTAAAGGAAATTTTACTTCCTATAGCAAAGGTTGATACCTTATTTATTATAACTAAATGCCCTTTTAAAAAATTATGATTCATAGCTACCTTTTAATTTTATAACAAAATATATATTTATGGTCACTTCCTACCTTTAAGCCATTAAATACACTGTGTATATTTTTCTTTCTCCCTCTCTCTTTCCTCTCTCCTCCTTTCTCTTTCCTCTTTCTTCTCTTTTTCTCCTGGTTTTTTCCTCTCCTGCTTTTAGAAACCCTAGTAGGGGCTATGTTCCGCCAACGACAGATCCGGTCGGCGACCACTTCCCCCCTTCCTTGTTGTCACCCCCCTTCCCCCTCCGGGTGTCAATTTCTTTCACACAGTTGTGTTACACATTCGAATTTTTTCTTAGATTTTGCATTGATTGTTCATGTTTGCCTTGTGAGATCTGAAGAAGTTCTATCTCTAGTTTTCGTTTGATCATTTAAATTGGTGCTTCTTCAACAACTGTCTTCATTTAACCAGCGGCGATGCCCCACATGGGGGTGTCCTGGATACCGGTGGATTGGGGATGGAGTTTGGGGCTGAGGAACTTGAAGAGTCTGTTACCTTTTTTTTCATTGTATTTCAATGTAACTCACTGTATTTCATGTATTTAATTGTATTCAATGTCTTTAGTTTTTTCTACTTTTTCAATATATTAACTGTATTCAATGTAATTATATAATTTCAAAGCTTCACTTTGTTTCACTATTTTGTCCGGCAGTATATATTCAGCAGTATGTATTCAATGTATTGTAGAACGTATTCATATCTTTTTTTTTATTAATATAATTTATGTATTCAAATGTATCTGCATCATGTATACATATATTTTTGCACTATAGATGACCTGCTATACTTCATGTATTCAATGTATTTTTATGTATTTAACTGTATTCAATGTAATTATATAATTTCAATATATAAATCTATTTGTAAAGATACCACCAAAAAAAGAAAGGAAGGATTATATCTCTGAAGTTTGCTCTGTTTTTGGGGTGTTTTCCGGTTGAGAATATTTTTTATAACTGGAAATACAAATTTTGTGTGTTATAATTAAGTTTGTTGAGTTACATTAGGAGTCTATCCCATTAATTGATTCACTTACCGTTCTTAAACAGCTGAAGACCTTTTTTTCGCAAATTCTGTTACTGTAATCACGAATACAGCTCGCGAGTACAGTCGAATACATTCTCTGCTTAGCTGGACTTCCCTGTTTTCCGCCGAGTTTTGCTACTGCATTCATGAATACAGTAGCAAAAATACATCGAATACAGTCTATAACAACTGAAAATATAGCTATAGGAAATAATTTAGTAAATTGTGCCTATAGCAAACTAACAATCACTAAAACACAGTGATTTTTGAAAAATTCTCTAAATTGAAAATATAAAATTGAGTACAGGCAAGTTTCTAAATAGAAAGTAATCGTGGAAAGTTATTTTACAATCAAGTGGGGAAAATAATATTTAGCCACCGTCCTTAGCTATTCGGATCATGAATGTGCGTGTGTGGTGCCATTTGCTTTTTTTGTTTGTTGTAATTAGGCCAAGCCACTTTCACTTTTATCAAGTTAATATGTGTCTCCTCAAAAAATAGACACTTCCTCCCTTCACTTTTATTTGTCCAATATTTTAAAAGTAAATTTTCACTTTTACTTGCCACTTTTAGCATAACAGGATAAGACAATTTCTTTTTTTCTATTATACCCACAGTATTAATTATTCATTTCAAATTATTTTTTCAAATTCATTAAAAATATGCATCAATTAATATGGATATCATGGTAAGTTATGCACTTCTGTTGAGAGAAGTAGAACTACTAAACTATAGTTAGCTAAGGTGGTTAAGAAGTGTGTTAGCTAAACTTATTAGTGTGATTAGTTAGGAAAGTAGTTAGGAAGTTAATAACTAATTACTTGTATAAATACACAGTAGTTGCTTCTTTGTAAACATACGATTTCATTTCTTTTTTTCTTCAATAAAACAGTAACTCTATTTATCTGAGTTTTCTTCTTAGCTTCCTCTCCAAGTTAAACTTTAGCTTAGAGCTTCCATAACTATGGAAGCTAACATGGTACCAGAGCTCGTGATAACAATCTCAGTCTAGTTCCTCGCTCAATTGTGTGTATGTGTGTTACTGTAGTTCAGCTGAAGTGTTTGAAAGTAACAACACCTTTGAGCTAGGGTCTTCAATTCGATTAACTGAAAAGCTTCATCAATGGTGATAGGAGACGAAACCAACGAGAGTACATCTAGACATGTGAATGTACCAGTTGCACCTGATGTTTTCCCCACAATTGATCATAATCATCCTTTATTTCTTCAACCGGCCGATACTCCAGGTAGCTCACTCATTTCTCTTCAGCTAACTGGCTCAGATAACTATACTTTATGGAGTTGATCTATGAGAATAGGTCTGATAGGTAAAAGTAAACTAGGATTTGTGGATGGTCGATATCCAAAATCTAAGTTTGAGCCTGAATTTCATGAGCAATTGGGAAAGGTGAATGATGTAGTACTCTCTTGGATTATGAATGTTGTGTGCCCAGGACTACTGAGTACTGTGTGCATGCTTCGAATGCTCATAAGGTGTGAGAAGATCTGAAGGAGAGGTTTGATAAAATGAATGGATCGAGGGTTCTACACCTGCATAGAGAAATTCATACACTAACACAAGGAAAAATGAATGTGCTCACTATTTCTCTAAACTAAGGGATCTATGGGATGAGTTTGATGCACTCATGCCCTGTCCTGGTTGTCTCTGCCCAGAACAAAAAAAAATATGCTGAGCATTTTGAGTATCATAGGTTACTTCAGTTCCTCATGGGACTGAATGACTCTTATTCTCAAGCTCGAAGTCAAATCATGATGATGACACCAGTGCCTAGTATTAACAAGGCATATTCTCTTCTTATGGATGTGGAAAGCCAAAGAAATCTGGCAAACTTCACTCAAATGGTGCAAGTGACAGAAATTGGTGAAAGTACTGCTAACAAAATTCCAAATCCTAGTACTGGACAGTTCAGAGCCCAGAAGAAGACAGTGATTTGTGATTACTACAACTACAAAGGCCACACCAAGGAGAACTGTTCAGCATACGAGGGGAACAATGCACATCCCTAGAATTCTAGCGCATCGCCCTAGACTGCACAGTCACTCAACAAATGAAGGACAAAGAAAAAGAGGCATAGCAATCAACAAGGCCGAGGTCGATATGTGATGATAGCGAAGACGTCATCAGAGACCCTGATAGGGTTGAAGCTGCGGAATCGACCATAGAAGACCTCGACCCCGTTTGATTAGACACCAACAATCACAGCAAGAAAGCTTACATCGGCTGTAAACTTCAGGAACTATGTAAATTCCGTCAATTCTTAACTACTAACGCGGATTTGTTTGCTCCATCAGGGAGTCGATTGAAGCATCCCCAGTGGGTCATCACAGTGGTGATGATGAAAAAGAAGATAGGGAAATGGCGGATGTGCGCAGATTTCACAGATCTGAACAAAGCATGCCCCAAGGATTCGTTTCCATTACCCCATATCGACCAACTCATCGACGCAATGGCCGAGCATGAGTTACTGCGCTTCTTGGACGCCTATTCAGGCTGTAATCAAATCCTCATGGAAGAAGAAGATTAGGAGAAAACCACATTTATCACCCATCAGGGGACGTAATGCTACAGGGTCATGCCCTTCGGGTTGAAAAACGCAGGGGCAACTTACCAAAGGTTGGTGAAGAGGATGTTCAAAGACTAGCTCGGCAATGATGTAAGTCTATATAGACGACATGCTAGATCAATTCCAAAAGGAAAGAATATCTCATCGACCATCTCAGAGAGACCTTTGACATACTCAGACAATACGGAATGAAATTGAACCCTAAAAAGTGTGCGTTCGGAGTGGCCTCAGGAAAATTTTTGGGTTTCCTGGTATGACAACAAGGAATCGAGGTCAATCCTGATCAAATCAAAGCCATCGAGGGGATACTAGAACACTTGACCACCAAAAATAGGTTCAGAGGTCGACTGGCCGTATCTCCGCCCTTTCAAGATTCATTTCACGATCATCGGATATGTGTCACAGGTTCGTCGTACTCAAGAAGGATAACGGTCTCCAATGGATTTCTGAGTGCGTCCAGGCCCTGAAGGAGTTGAAGGCATATCTAACGTCACCACCAGTGCTTTCAAAGCCGGAAACAAGGGAACGTCTTCTCGTTTACCTCGCTGTATCCGAAGTAGCTATGAGCGCAGTCCTGGTTTGAGAAAATAAAGGTACAAAGTCTCCCATCTATTACATTAGCAAAACACTAGTCGACGCCGAGAAGAGGTACCCTCACCTCGAAAAACTGGCCCTGGCCTTAGTCATAGCTTCGCAAAAGCTTAGACCGTATTTCCAGTGCCACCCCATCTCGGTCGTCACGACTTTTCCTCTGAGGAGCATTTTGCATAAACCCGAGCTTGTTTAACCAAAAAATAGGAATTTCGGTCAAAGCTTGCTATTAGAAGAACTCGGGTTACTGATAATCAAATAAAAATAAGAATAATTAATATAAACAA